CAATACTATTCAAACCCAAAAATGCTTAACCCCTAATATCTTAAAACCCTTAACCAATTGAAAAAAAAGGTGCACTCTTATTCATGGGTCCTTTCCCTTTATATTTGAATTCTATGGATCGTCTCTGAAGTCATTCCCTTTGGTTGCTTACAATCTACTACACTTCCCTACAAGTTTACGCTCTCATGAACAAAAGCTGAGATCCGCAGCTCTCCCGAGAGCCCTGCTCTCTTGACACCTTACCCCTTGGGTCGAGCCCAGCCGAAACAACTTAGACTTGCCAGATATCAATCAACATATGGTGCGATTCCCCTAAGCTAACCAACAGAATCGGACCCAAGACCCCTATAATACCAAATGTAAACTCTTGAATTTGAACTTTTCGGGAGGTCACCCAACCCAATACTATTCAAATGCAAAGACACTTAACCCCAAATATCTTAAAACTTAACCAATTGAAAAAGGGGGTTGTAATACACATGGTTTTTCCCCTTTATCCTATAGTCATTTATCATAGGATAACCATAAAATGGAACCTAGACCCTCTTTATGCCACATGATAGATGCCATGTGTCATATGCCACATGTCTAAAGGACAATGGTGTGGAACGGAACCTAAACCCTCTTTGTGCCACATGATAGATGCCACGTGTCATATGCCATATTGTCCTTTGGACAATAGTGTGGAACCCGAGTTTCAGAGCCTTGGGCCACTGAACTAAGGAATGGTGCCAAACTCCTAAATATAGAGCTAAGTGTAAGTTCCTGAATTTGGACTTCCTAGGAGGTCACCCAGCCCAATACTATTCAAACCCAAGGACATTTAACTCCAAATATCTTAAGACCCTTAACCGATTGGAAAAGGGGGTGCACTTTTGTTCATGGGCCCTTTCCCTCTATATTTAAACCCCATGGATCGTCTCTCAAGATATTCCCTTTGATTGCTTACACTAAGGAGTGATGGCACTGGAGCACAAAATGACTCCTGAGCGTACAACCCAAGGAGCGAAGGGACAGGAGCATGGAGTGACTTGGAACAGTCCTAGAGTAACTAATGTCAAGACCAGCATGCAAAACGGAGCCAAACAGAGTTTGGCACTATTTTAGCATACCGGTGGCCTAATGTGAGGACATGGGTACTCCACCAGCTAGTATGGTGTGGAGCTTGGGCTTAAACCCAAGTCGGATGCAAAACAAAGACAGGCATGCAAGCAAAAGCTAGACTATGCCTTAGGTTGGTTAGCCATGCCCAACTTACCCACCATCCTTATTATACATTTGGAACCCCCCATATCCCCCCCCCCCTTGAGGAACACACGCTCCGGGCTTTCACCCCAAGCTTCCCTTAGTATCAGGAGTTAGTCTCTAGGACAAGCTCAAAACTTATTAAATATGGAATGGCACTAGATTGCGAATTTGGACACGGAATGAACACCATTGTGTTCAGGACAATCTCTACATTCTGTAGATATGCCAAATGAGCAAATCTAAACATTTTCCATAAATAGCATTTGGGACCGAAATGAAACTAACACAAAGGGCATGATTTGAGTTCTATAGCCATATTGCTATATGATTTGAGCCATTTTTTTTATTCTCATTCTCTTGTTTCCATGACCGTATTGTCAAGCGAGGGTGTTTGGCAAATACAATAAGCTATCATCTAGCGATATTGAGGGATTAGTCTCAATACGCGAGGGTTTTTGCCAAGCCAATGCAAGACAGAACAAAAGAGAACTAAAAGCCAGGCCGAGAATGCTTAGCTAAAAACACATAGGAGTTCCTACCTTATGTCCATTTAGCTAAGTACAGATGCTAAGCCCAGTTTACTAACACTTGGACAAGAGGGACTAATGATGGGAACTAGCAGTACCGACCTCTTGCCGCCATGGCAGTAAGGAAAGAGTGCTTATAAGTACTGGCCAAATGGTAATTTTTGATACCCAAAGTCACATTCGCAACAGAGGTGCACTTTTATTCGTGGGCCCTTTCCTTTTATATTTAAACCCCATGGATCATCTCTCAAGTCGTTCCCTTTAGTTGCTTACAATAGTGAGTAAATCCTAGAGGATAGTGAGACTTAATAATCGAGCCTAAGGGCCTTAACCCAGTGGCAATGTTAGTGAATACAACTATGGATAGAAAGGGACTTGATGGGGACCGAAAAAGGGATATTGGGGAAGGTTGTTCTTTATGTCTGCGGGCATCCTAAGGATGTTAAGGAGTGGATTTAGGATGATCACTCATGAATGGATGGCTTAGTTTTTGAGAAATGGGACTATAATATAAGTAATGTTGAATCACCGTGTGACAAAGAAGAATGAGCATAGCATTAGCATAACGAGCTAATATGTTGGTAGTACCTTTAAGTGTTAGTTATGGGATTGGACATATAAAGCACTTGGACCAAGTGTAAAAGTTAAGTGGCGTGGATGTCATTCTCAGGCCCAAGTCTGGAATAGGACTTATGGACGTTGTGAGTGAGACTCCTCCAAATAGTTAGAGGTGTGGTTAAGTGATTAAAGTAGAATGGAAAATTTAGTCACTTACACTTTTGTTATTTTGCTTTAACAACTCCGTATGGTGCAATATTGCCTTTGCTAATAGATCACTTCCATATAGAGCCCAAACATCCTCCTACTGGTATTATAAGGTAGCATTTGTCACATCCAAAACCTCCAAGAATAACTCTACCAAATCCAAGTATACCCATGGCTCTTTCTTGTTTATATCCAAGAATTTTGGTAAAATTGTGATGCTATAAAGATTGATTGCTATTTTTTCTAGCTCTGGAAGAATAAAAAGTCAAGTAATGACCCCATTGATACAACTCTATTTGATACTTCACCAGCATCTAAACTATAAAGTGGACTTCTTGATAATATCTCAAATATCAAAGAATTTTTGCCTTGAAATTTCTAGTGTTGAGTGTGTATCTCCTGTTATAGACATAGGCATAAGAAAAAAAACAAAACATCTTAAATTAAACACACCAAATACTAAAAATCTCAAATCACTTCAAAATATCTTGATGACCAAACAATTACTTACATGTGGCTCCTTTGCAACCATATCCCACAAGAATTGTTTTTCCAAAGTTTATGTATCAAATCACCTAAACCACAAATTTTTTACCTTTATTTCTTTCAATCTTTTAGATTCACAAAGCAAGAAAATTATAAAGTCACTCTTTCCCATGTGGTGTGCCAAAAATGAATAAAGAAAGGTATAATGTCATGTGAAACTTTAGAATATACTCTTACTATATACTATGAAATATGCTTAGAATATTCTTTATCACCTCCACAATTATACAGCACTACAACAACCTCCTTAACCCTTACATTGCCCTGCACAATATACTCATTTATTGTAGGAGCCACTTCAACTATGAAACATAAAACCATATTGAAATGTACGTCAAAGAAGTAAAAAAAGAATGACATACTAAAGATTTAGAAAATTATATGGTCAACTTAGATATTAGTTTAGCTTTTGATGGGTTGTGTCACTCTACATTATATCTCCCTTCAAAAGTGTTTAATTCTCTAGAAAAAACAATTATTAATCTATATAGTCTATTGCATAATGTATTTAGCTGTGGATGAATGATCAACACATAAACCTCTTTTGCCCTTTTATGCATTAATTATATCAAATTCAATTTCATTGAACTCTCCCACCCAATCAAGTGTTTGTTATATGGCACACCTAGGTTCACGCAATGTGAAAAAAAAAAAGGTTTATGGGTGGTAACAAGTACTTGTTACCACAACATAGACATTCCAATGTGGTATTGCAAATTAAGCTAATTTAAAAAGCCCTTAGAACAAATTTGATATGATACAATACAAAAAAAAACAATTAGCTAACAACCCTCTAAAGGATAAGCCTAACAATAAAGATTCTTGCAAGTTGCCGAATTAACACATGGTGGAGTTAGGATATCACACCAAGCCAAAGATCCTATGAGAATTGTAATTCTGCCCCTCTTGCCTTGATAAAGTGTAAGATGTAAACCACATCATTAATGACTATTTTACATATCCAACTCTTAGGTTCTAACTTTTATTTCATCCTTGGTAATACAAGTCATAGTTGGCACACCAGAGGGGGAGACCATAAAAGACATCAACAGCCTATTTAAATCTGTTGGTCTTATGTTTTTTGGGGGCTGCCAAAAGACAGTATTGAATTATATAAAAGCAAATTAGTAGAATAGGTGACATAACAATTCGCAAAAACATCAATAGTGATAAACAGTTTAAGAATTTAATACAACATAAATCTTAATAATTAACAAAAAGAATCAATAGTGTAGGAAGATCTTAATGTTTGACAAAAAAACAAACAGCAAGTTAGGTGACATCCTAATGCAATACTAAGTGATATCCTAATAATCAACATAAACTATCAATAAATTGTAGATAAAACAATGAACAAAAAACACATACCACATAATGTTATTTATAGATATATTATATACTGAAAAAAGCACAAAATAGAATTAAAACACAAATAATTTGTTGTGCATTGCATGCAGCAACACTTGATTTGCTTAATAGTAGTGTCATACTTATTTAGTATTTTTAAATTATAATTTATAGATCAAGATTAATCTTATTACATATTAACCATTAGATGGTAGAATAAAAAAGAATATACTAAGAAGTGTTTAGGAATTTTTATAAATTATAAATACAAGATTAATCTAAATGAATAACAACCGTTAGATGGTAGATCTTAAAATAATCAAGCATATTCTAAGTATATCCACTACCATCTCATTTAGAAATATGATTTTTTGAATAATAATAAATTATATGTTAACTAACGATTTCTTACTTAAAACAAACTAGCTCTTTGGTATGAAAATTTGGAAATGCCCACCTTAGAACTTCACTCCCAAAAATCTTTGTGCCTCACGTTCGATCATGCCATATGTGAACCACTTGACGGTGAGGAGAGGACTTGGACCACCTTTCTATTTTCCAGCTTTATCACTTAAACATGTCGGTTGTTATTCATTCCAAAAAACTTGATCAGTGCTGGCTAATGCACCGTATTCTATAGATTTAAGCATAAAAATAAATTTATTATCACCCTTGACCCTGTGTTTCTTGATGGATGATAGACCTCCCGACATCCCTTGGACTGCCTGGCTCCACATCCATTTTCTAAAACCACGACATGTACACACTACTCAAATTGAAATACGACTATTGAGGATGGAGAGAGTTATCTCTCTTTTCTTTGCGCTTTCTCTTCGTTTGGAACTTCACCTTTTGTTTGGATCAAGCTTGATAGAGATGGGCCGGCAGCCGCGGAATAGGCACTGCATGCAAGGGATATTTGCGAGGAACCGTGAGCCCGAAGGTCTCCGTCATGTCGATCTCCTCGGCTGATTTCATCTCCGGTGGCAGCCCCCAGTCGAAGCACTGGATGAATCGGCCAAGGCTCATCTGCAGCATGCTGATGCCCAGCGGCATTCCTGGGCACATCCTCCGCCCGGAACCGAAGGGAATGAGATCAAAGTGATTGCCCCGCACGTCCAAAGTATTACCAGCCGATATGAATCTGTCCGGATCAAACTCCATTGGGTTCTCCCAGGTTGCTGAGTCTCTCCCAATCGCCCAAACGTTAATCATGATACCCGTTCCCTTGGGGATCCGGTAGCCGGCAACCACGCAGTCTTCGATGGACTCGTGGCGGAGGATGGGCACCGAGGGATGGAGCCGGAGTGCCTCCTTGACGATACACTCGAGGTATGGCAAGTTTGGCAAGTCGGACTCGTCCACCACCCTGTCCCGCCCTACGACTCGGTCCATCTCCTCCTGGGCCTTCTTGAGGATGTGTGGCTTTCGCATGAGCTCGGAGAGGGCCCATTCGATGGTAACAGCTGCCGTGTCGGTTCCTCCGGCTATCATGTCCTGCACAAAGAGAAGAGATAGACATCAAATAAAATATCTCTCGAGATCGCCCGCCACCCCCTCTCGTCTTTGATCTCTCTTCGTCATGGGCGAATGATCGATCCCACTTTTGACTAGAACCCACTCAGTGGGAAAGGATCACTTACCACAATTATGCCTTTGATCGTCTTGTGGCTGACCTTGCTCCCGTCCTCGAGCGTGAGCGCGAGAAGCACGTCCACGAAGTCCGGCGGCTCGTCCGACTTGGCCATCCGCCGCTGGATGTGCTCCTCAATTACCTTGTCTAGGAGATGGTCGAGCTTCTTGTGGAGGACCTTGGCCATGCCGATATACCCCTGGAAGTCAAAGATGGAAAGTCCCGGAATGTAATCTCCAATGTTGAACGCTCCCCACACCATGAAGACTCCATTAATGAGGTCGATAAACTCCCGCGCCTCCGTGGTGTCGGAGCCGGAGAATGGCTTCTTGCGCATCACCATCTGGTTGATCACGTTCATGGTGAGCGAGAAGATCCGGGTGTTCATGTTGATGCTCGTCTCCCGGTCGCGGTAAATGCCGGCCATGGTGTCTGCCAGCTCCCGGGCTCGAACCTTCGCCGTCTCCTGCATCCGCCGGTGCGTGAAGAGCTCCAGCGTGCAAATCTTACGGAGCTGCCGCCAGTGAGCACCATACGCGGCCCACCCGATGTCCGTGAAATTGTACGTGATAATCTTCTGGGCGGCCATCCTCGGCCGGGACGCACACACGGAGTCGTTCACCTTGAGGAACTCCCGGGCCATCTCCGCGGTGGACGCTACCACCACCGGCACCACACCCAGGCGGAGCTGAATGAGCGGGCCGTAGATCTTGGCGAGCTTGTACAGGGACTGATTGGGAAGCTGGTCCAGGAGGTGGAGGTGGCCGGTGATGAGCTTGGAGGGCGGCGATGGGGGCAGCGGCGGGCGCTTGGAGTTCCTCAGCCGGGAGTACAAGGCAGCGAGGAGCGCAATCGCGGCGGCGAGGACGAGCGAGAGCGAGGCCACGGCCGTGAAATTGTCATGCTGTGTGTACTCGCCCATGATCGAGGAGAGATTCATGACTGACTGAGTGAGTGATACCACTTGAGTGAGCAGCGTCGATCCAATTGGTCGATCGCAGGGAAAGACTGTCCGTCAAGATACAAAGAGTGAGGGGAAAGAGTGCGAGCTTTGGGGAAGCTCTGAGAATCAGCTACGAGAAAGCGGAGATTTAAAAGCAGACGCCCTTTGGCAACTACAGAGTCCGTGTGGCTTCTTGCGACATCACGCTTACGTTGCATAGGAAATGGCCACATGTAAGTAATCCGCCAACTTTTTACCCTTTCTCGTGTAACAATTTCATAACACGGTTTGAACGAGTAAAACGCAAGCAAAGGGTCCCTCCCAACTTCTGAAGTTGATACTTCTTTTGGACATGGGTGCCACAGAAAAAAGGGCCCCAAAAACATTAGAGCTGATTGTTGCTGCCTGCTGGATCCGAGACTTCGCTGTTCTTCTTTTGCTCTATGAGTCCTTGAGAGATAAAGCTCTTGGAAGAGTAGGCATGGTGGTTAAATTAGAAATCTACAGCGCGTAAGCACTGCTCTATACCTATATCATCTTCCCTATCCCCCTCTCTCTCTCTCTATCTCGCTCTCTCGCTCTCTCTCCACTCTTACTCTCTCTCTCTCTCTCTTCTGGCAAAGATCTTTATCGATCGCTCGAAGAATTCGAGGATATGGGGTCTGCCGGGGGAGTGATCGTGGAGGATGAAGATCGCCTCCAGATAATGGAGCTCGCGACCATGTGTTCGGTGCCCATGGCGCTCAAAGTAGCGGTGGAGATGGATGTGGCGGAGCGGATCGAAAAGGCGGGGCCTGGCGGGCTTCTGTCCGCCGCCGAGATAGTGTCACAGATCCCCGAGTGCTCCAGCCCCATGTCGCCGATCTACCTCGACCGGATCATGCGAGTCCTGGCCAGCCGCAAGATCTTCAAGGAGGTGGACGAAGGGGGCGTGCGCAAGTATGGGCTTACTTCCATGTGTAAGCATCTCATCAAGGACGAGAGAGGGGTCTCTCTGGCGCATCACGTCCTCATGAATCAAGACAAGGTGGGAACTCCTCGAATTTCTCTTCTTTCCATCCGCATTTTGATCCGGAGTATCACTCTGTTTTTTTTTTGGGGGGAATTTAGGTGTTCATGGAGACCTGGCAATATCTCCACGAAGCTGTTCTTGACGGCGGCGAGCCCTTCACCAAGGCGTTTGGGCAGACCGAGTTTGAGCTGGGAAAGGAGAATTCCAGGGTCAACAATCTCTTCCACGCCGCCATGTCCAATCACTCTAAGCTCTACATGAACGCCATCCTGGAGGCCTACCACGGGTTCAAGGGAATTGGGACACTAGTCGACGTTGGTGGTGGAGTCGGGACTTCTCTGGCGGTGATTCTCAAGAAGTATCCCGAGATCAAAGGGATCAACTTCGATCTTCCTCACGTCGTTGCCAAGGCTCCTCAAATTCCAGGTAACAAATCTAGCTAGCACGGAAGCGATTGAATTTCTCACTTCCGTGTGGGAATATCCAGGTGTGGAGCACGTTGGCGGGGACATGTTTGTGAGCGTCCCGCAAGGAGACGCCATCTTCATGAAGGTAAGCAAGCGCCCCCTCTCGTTGACTATTGTCGACTGGAGCTGACCGTGCGTTGACCAGTGGATCCTGCACGACTGGAGCGATGAGGCTTGCATCACGCTGCTCAAGAACTGCTACAAGTCCATCCCCGAGCACGGAAAAGTCATTGTGGTGGATTCCGTTCTGCCCTCGGTGCTGGACACGGGTGCTGGAGCTCGAGTGGCGCTCAGCATCGATCTCTTGATGCTCGTCTACAATCCGGGTGGCAAGGAGAGGACGTTTGAGGATTTTGAGAAGCTCGCCAAGGCGTCGGGCTTCTCGAGCGTCAAAGTTCCCGTGACTGTAGACTTCATATCAGTAGTGGAGTTCCACAAGTGAAAGCAAGGCATTGTGTCAAAAGTAATAAACAATACGAGTGAAGTTTTCTACGTCGTCTCTCGATTAATACTTCTGTTCCTGAGTGAGGTCGGCTTTGATTGTTTGATGGGCACGACTTGGATTTTTGCCAAACGCACGGCTTACATCAAATAATCACTTGTCACCACTTTTATACTTCTGGTTGCTTCTGTTTTTATGCTTTGTTTGATATCGATAATCACAACTCGTGAATTCCTTCTAGACGGCAAACGCGCGTTTTACATTGTTAATCAGAGCAGGACTTTGTCTACTACATGCATCTACTTCTGTTCTTATGTTTTGTTCGATATCGATGATCACGACTGGTGAATTAGACAACGTAAGGCCCTCTTATTCTACTAGCAAAACTACGAAAAAAAAAAGAAAACAGTTCCTTGAAAGTGTCAAGAAAGATAATGGTTAACAAGGATAGAAAAGCGCTCCTTTGACTACTTTGAGAATGGTAGGTTGGGTAAATCCTAGATTTGTTCACCGCGAGCAAAACAACTAGACTTTTCAGGCTGACTTCGTAAAGGCTTGTCGGTCCCATCCATCTTTTATATGTGTATCTTTGAAGGCCAGACTTCTATTCCATCCAGGTGGAATCGAGGAAGATAGACTAGCGGATCCCAAATTCTTGCGTCCATCCGACTTCCAGATTGCTTGTTCTGATCCGAGAGCTTAGATATTCATGTGCGAGCCACTTGTTTGTGACCGGGATACCAGCTGACTTTAGCACATCTCGCGGCACACCTTGTCATGCCTGATCAAGGACTTACCGCTGCTTACTAGTTTCCATAGTCCAGTCCATTGTGTCATGCTCAAACCTTGACAAGTCTGTGCCATGCTTTGTCCTTCGGCACAAGGAAACAAAAGAGCTTTAAACCAAAGAATTGGAGAGAAAATAAGAGAAAAGCGAGAGCGGTGTTCTTTCACACTCAAACTTCTGTGTGGATGAGGCGGCAAGATATATATGGAAGAAACACGCTTAGAAGAACGACAGCTCAAATCAGATGCAAACACTTGACTTCTTTTCTGGCTCTTGGTAATAGAAACATTTCCTAAACACAGCAACAAGACGTCTGGGATGCGTGACTGTACGGGACTAGCTGCAATTATGGACCATTACGCTGGAAGAACACTGAACTTAGCGTTAGTGTGAAAAAGAAAGAAGCGAACTCTTCGTTTCTTGGAAACAAGGCACCAGGCTTCAAGAAGAGGAATAAGAAAGTAATTTACAACAAGAAAAAAATGGTCACGTTCCGAGCAGAGCTACTTTTTTGTCATACAGAGCAATCTAAATAAATGAATTATTGATCGCATTAGCGTAGCTTGAATATATTTATGCTTTCTCCAATAATTATAATAATAATAATCACAATAATATCTTGCTTGGCATTGGACACTCAACCACCCTGACCATACACCATCGTCATTTTCGTGTATATTACCACTTCCGGCTCCTCTTGGTCTTTGCTTTACTGCATCTTGTGGCAGAGCTGTTGGAACAAAGAAAGCTTCGAAAAAAGGAAGTAAAAACGAGCCCACTTGCCTCTTGAATCATGTGAGTTGATGACTGTTCATTACTGAGAGAAACAAGAGCAAGCTTTAGCATCAACCTCAAGAGAGGAGAGAACTTACGTTTTTTCTTCATGCCCGGCAGCCGCTTGTTCAATCTTGAGCTCTTAATTGGCGAGGTCGGACTCTTTTGCAGCTAGCTCTGCGGCTAGAACAGCGTGTTCAGTGACAGCCACTGCCAAAACCGTGACTCTGGCATCTCTCCAAGGCATAGCAGTCCAGCTTCCTTCGTTTGGCAATGGAGTCGGTTCTCAATTGAAAACCTGGAATCTCTTCAATTCTCAAACTAGAGCCTTGTAGTATCTGAGGAAGAAAGGAAAGAGAGAAAATCATAAAACCAAAAAACGAAGGAGACCAACTTATTCCCAGTCTTAAGTTTAGCTAGTTTAAGTGTAGGATGGATGTAATGTGAAGCTCAATGTAGATTGGTCAATTCTCCATGAGGTGCACAACATTTGTAGGCAAAGCATTTCAGAAGGATTCCAACTTATAGCTCACCTAGATTGTGTCAAAATACTAGCATCATTCATAAAAGTTTTCTAGCTGGGAGTTCCAGTAAGGAGTTTAAGCTTCAAGTCTTGTCGAAGATCTTAGCCTATCAACCTTTGGACGAGCTCGCCCAGAGTCACTATCGTCGGCCCCTCGCCAGCTGCGACGATGCCACCTCTATCCTTGTCCAGTCCTCCACTTACTGTGCTACTTCTCATCATGGAGCTCTTCGAAAAATTCTAGGACTCTGGGTTGTGCTCCCACAAAGTTTAATTACTGATACTACGATCAATTGCTTGCGAGATGCTAAAAATCCGACAATTGCTGATTAAAATTTTTAAACCATAGTTGTTAATAAAACAAATCACAATCATAAAAGATATAGAACCTAGAATCTCAGCCATTTAAACAGCATATGCTTAAACACTGATTTGCCTAGATGGCAAACCAAAATGTTAACATTAAACTATATTTTAGTAAAAAAAAAAAAATTTAAGAGATATACTTTAATAAAATTAAATTATTAGATATTGAATTAAACAAGTTTTATGAGTATTGTCAAGTGGGGCAAGTATATGCATAAGCTTTATAAAATTTTGACAAAGTATTAGCCACAATATTCCCAACTTAATTTAGTCTGATGTATTTAACTCTGAATAAAAAAACTTTAGAAGTAAACATCAAATTATATAACTAACTCAAAAGGTTTATAATAAATACAGTTGCTTGAAAGCATTATTATAATCATCAGTATGTCTAAATGTGCACTTGAAGAAGTTTGGAAGAAAACTTTAATTTATATGAATATATACACTCAAGCTATTGTACCATTGTAATGCTATCTTTAAGAGCCATGAGAAAAATTTATATAGATGTAAAATATCATCCTAAGAATAATAAGTGGCAATGTGATCAAATTAATAGTATATATCATCTTTAGGATTCCCACAAAAGAAATTCTACTAAATATGAATATTGGTAGCAAAAGCATGAAAAGTTACATTATATGCTATGAACATGTAAGCAATAAAAAAAAACAATTTAAAATATTAATCTATGAATAAGAGTACATTTTATTTGGGTTAAGTACCTTTAAGTTTGAGTAATACTGGGTCGGGGAAATCCAACTTAAAGAACTTAAAGAGATTATATAACACTAAATTGAGTTTGATTATTCAATTGCTAATATATAACATTGAGCAATTACACTAATTATTGCTCTTGAAGGATACTCTGCTATAATAATGAATGAGAAGAAGAAAACAATAAAAATAAAAATGGAAAAGCTATAAGAATAAGAAAAATCTAGACAATGTAAAAGCTAAAATTAAAGCACTCTTACTGCCTCTTAATGTCATCAATGTGAGTGCATGGAAGAGCTACGCCTCTAACTTCATACATATGAGTGCATATATATGTATATTCAATTAAACTAACCTTTATTTATATATAAAGCAAATAGTCTATCAAAAACCCATTAAACTAATAATAGTATACAATATCTATGATTTTATTAAAATTTATAATAGGTTTTTATGTGTGGTGCTAATTTGGAATTTGCTCAATATAATTTTAAGAATTTATTCTCAAAGTATTACTACTAATAACCGTCATAACTAGTCATACACAATATACTACTAATTATAATGTAAATTAGAGTTATTATTGAAGGTGCAATACACAATATACTACTAATTATAATGTAAGTTAGAGTTACTATTGGATGTGTAATTTGGGTAAACAACTGCTTCCGTTGTCGTCAAGAGAGTTGAAACACTGTCATAAATGGATTGACCAAAGCACACTAAATCACGAGATTTTGAAAGAACATACCTGACAGCATCCTGGATTGCCCTTCTCAAAACTTTCACTGGGTCCACAATGCCTGCCTTGAACATGTCCACGTACTCGCCTGTGTAGCTCATGAGTACGCAAGGAAAACGAAAATGGAAGTATCTGTTGGATTCACCTTGAGCAGCGTCGAAGCCAAAGCTATCGTTTTCAATCTTCTCCAGCAGTTTCCCTACAACCATGGATGCTTCGTATCCAGCATTTGCGGCGATGATATAAGCGGGTATCTGCAAGTTTTCGTCAAGTTCAAAGCGATACACTTTTTACCATACCTTCATGGCTATTTGAATGATCTGAACTCCAACCTTCTCCTCAAAATTTGTTGTTTTGATCTTATCAAGCTCACGGGAGGCTTGAAGAAGAGCTACTCCACCACCTGCAGGATGAGTGTTTACCACAAAGTCTAGCTTACATGGCTCTACCTGGCACAATTCCTTCATAAGCAGCTGCTCTCGCAGAATTCAAGGCATCCACTACTCGATCTTTTTTTTCCGATATTTCAACATCGCTGGCTCCACCCACCTAATAAGAGAAAAAATAAAAATAAAAATAGCGGAAATCATTTAAATTGCTCTCACCTTGATCACAGCTACCCCTCCAGATAACCTGGAGAGTCTTTGCTCCAGTTTTTCCTTGTCAAATTTCGCAGTAGCTTTCTTTAGCTGAGATGTCACCTGAAAAGCAAAAAATTGCAGTGACATTTTTAGAATCTCGCACTACTTGCCTCGTCCCGTCGCTCTTGAATAACTTGCTTATCACCCACAGCACCTAAAATGATAGTGTCGTCTTTGGTTACAATAATCTGCAGAGGAGCATAAAGACAACTAGTCTATCGGGCTAGTGTTTCCGAACCTTCTTTGCATTTCCAAGCATTTCTACTGTTACGTCCTCGAGTTTCAAACTAGTGCTTTCGCTTATAAGCTGAAGAAAGAGATGAAAGTCGTTAGAATGAAGTATCTTGTTTCCATCACCTTTGAACCCGTCAAGGCTACAAAGTCGAGAAGGTGATCTATTCGATAGCTGCCGAATCCAGGAGCTTTTATGACGCAAACCTGAATGTTGGTGACGAATTAAAGCGACCAAATAGTATCCGTACAAGAGTTACCTTGAGACCAGCGCGGACTTTGTTAACGACTAGTGCCGTCAACGCTTCGCCCACCACATCATCCGCAACGATAAACAACGGCCTTTGCAACTAAAGTTGAAAGAACACAAGCTTGTGAAAGATTGAGTTGAAACAAAATCTACCTTAACCACCAGTTGAAGCAGTGGCTTCAATTTGCTAGCCTCCGATATTTTTTTTTCGTGCACAAGAATGAGGGGATCATCGAGTTCCTGAAAGAGTGTGAATCAGGAAATCATGACGAGGGCAGTATTTCACTCCTTACACATTTCTGAGTTCTGGTGTTGGTGATAAAGTTTGTTAACAAGTAGCCTCTGTCCAGCTTCAAACCGTCGATAACCTCGAGCTCGTTTTCAAGTGTTTTTCCCTCCTGAGATCGGAAATATAAAAAGAGATCGTATAAAGGTCTAGCTGTGAGCTTACGCTGATTGTGATGACACCCTCTTTGCCGACTTTTTCCAATGCCTTGGCTACCAAATCTCCTACTTCGGCGTCCCCGTTGGCCGAGATCGAAGCAACCTGGAGAAAGAACTCACAAGATGGACATTTGTCGAGACAATCGTCACGGACCTGAGCATATTCAGTAGGAGTGCTAATCGTCTTCGCCTTGCTCTTGAGGTACTCCACCACCGTGTCCACTGCCATATTCATGCCTCGGCGAAGATCCATGGCGTTCATTCCAGCGGCCACGGACTTGGTGCCTTCGGCAAATATGGACCTCGCAAGAACAGTTGCCAGAGTTGTCCCTATAAGAAAAAAAAAAACACATTCAAAACTGTTTTAGAAGAAGAGAGAGAGAGAGAGAGAGAGAAAAAACCGGAAGCCTTACCATCCCCTGCCACAGCATTGGTAGCATTAGCAACTTGCTTGACCAGAGCAGCCCCAACGTTTTTTACTCGGTTTTCGAAAGCCATGCTCCTGGCAACAGTCACTCCATCCTTTGTGATTTTGGGAGTGCCATAACTCAGCTCGATCACGACGTTTCGCCCCTATCAACAAAAACAGAGAATTCCTCGTTCTAAGAACAGAGTACGAGTGTAAAAGTATCGCATCACACACCTTGGGACCCATGGTCACTTGCACTGCATCGGCCAGCTCGTTCACTCCCTCCAGCATAAGAGCTCTTGCTTCCACTCCAAACATGACTTCCTTTGGAAGTGGAGGCTTAAACTCCTTGCTAGAGCTCCTGAGCCAACGAACGCCCTGTAGAGAACTGAGAAAATCACCCAAAATTCACAGCAAAAACAAGAGATAGAAGCTACCTGTGAAGACCTTCCATGGAGTCTGGAAAAACGAGCACAAAATCACACTTGAAATGGAGAGAAACAAGAAGTACTACCTAAATACCTCAAGCGCGAAGAGAAAGCCCTCCACATTTTATCCTACTTGCGCATCTCGTCCCAAGAAACCCTAAACCCTAGCTAGTATCTTCCGTACGTACGGCCCCGGCTTGTACTTACTTTTTCTGCTCAGGAAGCCCTAATACCCGAGAGCGGAGAGAGGAGGCTGTGGGCGCGAGCGGAGCTTGGATTTGCTGTTGCTTTCGGTGATTCGCCAGGGGCGAGGCGGCACAGAGCTAGAATCGCAGTCTAGGGTTTGATCTAGGGTTTTTGCGATGGACGGCAAGGCGACCGACGGGATTGCAGCAGGCAACGCTCCCGGCGCTGCTGAGGTCGTGAATCCGCCCTGGAAATCTCGAGGTGAGGATGCCGTTGTGTCGGTTTCTTTGTGCTCAGCTCGTGGATGGTGTCTGTGGGCGTAGACGATGGGAATAACGGGATATCGAAGCTTCTCGCGAATATTTTGGACACGGATGTCAAAGGTTCACTCTTCTCTGTTCGTTTGTGTTCCACAGTCGTGACTTTTTCTTTGGTTCGTGCATAGATGGCGCAGAGAACGATCTTCCGCTGTCTCCACAGTGGCTCCATCCCAAATCGTCCGAGAAACCAGCCGGAGTAAGGACTTATTTGTGGAAAGAATTTTTTTCCTTAGTTTTGAGGCTTGATCGTTGCAGGAGCCGCCTTATACGCCCAGGTCCGGACTCCATCACGAGCTCAACAAGGACAACTGGCGTGGGGATGGTGCTCGCGAGCTCGATCGAAAGTGGTGGCGAAATGACGAGCGCAGGGATAAATGGAGAGAGGACGAGAGGGAGAACACGAGACAGAGGTGGAAGGACGGTGACCGAGAAGGACCGGATGGTAAGAGGTGGTTAGATAAGGAGCCGGGGGAAGGAAAACGAGGCAACTTAGAGCGGTGGACTGATTTCTCCAACAGGGACACGAGCTATGATAATCGTCGAGATAGCAAATGGAACAGCCGCTGGGGTCCAGGTGACAAGGACAAGGAACCACGTCGTGATAAATGGGTGGATCCAGACAAGGAAGGCGAGAAGGACAGGCATGCAAGTAATCCCATCAGCATTCGAGAGCCTGATCACGAGAACTCTTCCCGAGCATGGGTTCCGCCGCATGCTAGACGCGGTGAAGCTGCTTCTCCACTAGGGAGTACACCACCGAAGTTTGCACCGGGTTTTGGAAGAGGGCGTGGCGATACGTTTACTGCGGGACGTGGTCGCAACACTTATGGAAGTGGCCCGCTGCATGGTCCGGGCTTGCCTGGAGCGCAAGGAAGTCATATCGGTGACAAAGCGGAAATGCGTCCGGGACGGGGTGATTCAACTTACCGTTATCCAAGAGGCAAGCTTCTTGACATCTATCGGAGCTGTCCAGTCAAGCCGAAACTCCCCGATGGTTTCATTGAAGTCGAACAGCTAACTACGGACAAGCCAGTGGAACCGCTGGCCGTTTCCGCTCCCGATGATGATGAAGAGGTATGCGCTTTGATGTTTATTTTTCTTGCCTGAATTCTTTGGAGCAGGTGGTATTGGAAGCTATTCAGAAAGGGGACATAACTGGTAGCGGAGCTGCACAGAATGCTTCCAAAGACGGTCGTGTTCCTCGTGAGGAGACTGCAAGAGTTCGACCGCGTATTGGGCTTGGAAGAGCATTTGGTAATTGTGTTGTGGTTATTCACTTGAGCTCTAATTTCTCTTTGACAGGCAAGGATGACGATAAAGCCAGTGATGAAGACGCTTTTCGAGATTTCGAAGGGGACTCCGAGAATCGGACGAACTACAATGGTATGCATGCGTTTAGCACAGATTAATTTTCTTATATATGCCATTGTGCAGGTTTAAAAGACGGGAGGAGGGACGAAGCTCGGCGATATAGAACAACTGAAGAAGTCAAGAAATGGGAGGTGAATGAAGACGACATGGATCCTTACAAGGAAGATAGGGGTTGGAAGCCAAGTGCCCGAAAGGAAGAGCAAGTCAAACCGCAGCCGCGACCAGAAGACCTTCAACTTTTTTATACAGATCCTCAGGGTGTCATTCAAGGCCCCTTTATTGGTGCAGACATCATAGGATGGTTTGAAGCTGGCTTCTTCAACATAGACCTGCCCGTTCGTCTTTCCGACGCTCCAGAGGGAACTGGTTTTGTACCGCTTGGGAACATCATGCCGCACTTGAAACCGAAAGCTCGCGTGCCTCCAGGTTTTGACGTCAAAGTGGAAGAGAAGGCGGGGTTCGATAATAACCTTCATTTACTACAAGAACTTGACACGAAGAGACTGGATGTGAAGCCGGATTCTAGTAGATTGACGCCAGGTATTTCTTTCACTCTTTTTCTTTTCTTTGTTTTTTCTTTTTTTCTAACTTAAATTTATTTTTCTATTCAGAGGTTGCAGAAGAAGACTTGGCAAGAAAGAGAATAGCTGTACTTTCGCAAGGTCGGCTGGAAAAACTTGATCAAGGTCCAGGGTTTTTTCAAGGAAAATGGCCACACGACAACTCTTCAGAAGCTGATGTCGCTAAGCTGTCAGCGAGTGTAAAACCCACGGATGTCATGACACCGCTGTCACCTATGCCGGGTGCTATGGCGGGTGCCGATTGGCCTCGTTCTCAGCAGCTACAATCGGAACTTGTCTTCCAGCACATAAACCCGAATTTTCCTCAACGTACGAGTTCGGGACTACTTTTAGAACAGCTACACTCGCCAATATCACAGCAGGTTTTACCTCCAACGACTGAGCAGCTACTCAAAATGAGGCAGCAGCAGCTACAGCAGCAGCAGTTACAACAGCAGCAGCAGCAGCAGCAGCAGCTACAACATCAACTCCAGTTACAGCAGCAGCTGCATCAACAAGCTCCACATCCTACTTTACTTGAGCAGCTGCTTTTGCAACAAGCGAGCATGAACGAGTATCAGCGACTGCAGAATGCCAACTTTGAGGCGTTAAGCAGGCAGCCCGACGCGTCTCCGTTATCTGAAAAGCCTGGAGTTCGAGCTTCTAGTAATCCGCTAGAGCAGTTGGCGCAGTTGAAACACCAGCACGAGTCGGCATTCAGACAGTTCTATCCTACAGACGAGCGTCACCTTTTACGGCAGGTAAGCGTACCTCCTGCACAGCAGTGGCCGACGGCTGAGAAAACTAGAATGCCCGGCGTATGGGACATAGATGACTACGGGCAGTTCATGCGGACGTCAGCGCCACCTGGGACTGGTGATCAGAAGGACGTAGCTCTAAGCACTCACTTCGAGAGGAGCCTCAGCTTGGGAAGAATTCCGACTGATCCTACTCAGGAGAGTTTCAAGGCTGAAAATAATCCAACTGTTTCGTTATATTCGCCTGGAGGAAATTTGCAGCAGCAGCAGTGGCCGACAGCCGAAGTGAACTTCAAGGAGAATATTGAGGTGGCGGGGAACAAGCCGCTACGAAGCATTGCTGATGAACCACCACTTCCTGCACAGAATACATCACCGTTACTCCAGGCTCAGCAGCACAGTGAGGTTGCTACTCCTCTCGAAATTTTGCTTCAGGAGGCTAAAAGGCAGAGTGAGGAGAAGATCGTTTCGCCAACTGCCTGGGTCGCTCCTGCTTCACAGCCGAAAGCTCCGAAAGAGTCTCAGGAGGAGGAATCGTTCAAGAAGTCGACAACATCGAACACAAACGTTCCTACCCCTGCTCCAACTCAAGCTTACTCCACCGTGCAAGAGGCAGATGAAGTTTCTCCATTCAAAAGTGAAGACGGCGACTTTATCGAGCCAAAGGAAACTAAGAAAAGCAAGAAGCGGGCATCCAAAAACAAGTCGAATAAGTCTAACGTCAGTGCCATCGACAGCCCTGCGTTCCCTTCTGCGACAACAAAGGCGAACAGCTCGAAGCAGCTTCCAGACCTGAGCAAAGAGATTTTACCGTCTCCGCCACCAGGGCCTTCTCTTGCGGATTATATGTTTGCTCGGGAAGAGCCAGCTGTTTCTCAACCACTTGCTGCTTGGTCGATTGACACAAACAAACAAGTGAAACCGGCTAAGTCTCTGAAAGAGATCCAAGAGGCTGAACGTCAGGCCAGGGAGGAGCAAGATAAGAGGCTCAGACTTCTGCAGCAGCAGCAACAACAGCAGCTGCAGCTACAGCAGCAGCAGCTTGCGGCCTCTAAGCCAGCAATCATTCGAAATGCAGGTATTAATGGCTCTGCGTGGCAGAAACCATCTCCCGCTGTGGCGACGCCTGTCCAAGCGAACAAGACTTCCAAGTCGAAACCGAAGGTTGACGACGATATGGACCTGTTCTGGGACTACGGTGAAGATGCTCTCAAGCCAGCGGCCAAGTCAGAAAGGTATAATTGTCTATGCGAGACTTAAGACTGACATGTTGGTTACAGGCAAGAGTCATCGGGCAGGAAAGGCCCGGCCAAGGAGCTCGCGACAGGATTTCGACAAGCTTCTGCTGCCGCGGTTTCACAAGGCAGTGCTGCGGAGTTTCCATCCTTGTCATCTTCGATAAGGCCGTTGACACCAGTAACCCCGAATACCGTGAAGAAGGTAGCTGGAAAGAAGGGTAAGTCCTCGTTGTTTGTTGATCATCTATACATTTTTAATCTATTGCCATCTTTAGATGTTGTTACTTCTCCGAGTACAGGCCCAAATGCAGAGGCCAAAGCATTCCGGCAGTGGTGCGAGAGCCAAATGAAAAAGCTGACTGGTAACGATGGTATGTCCGCAACTTTTGTTCCGTCTTTGCGTGTGCTAAGCGACAGCTCTGTCCAGATATGACGCTCTTGGAGTTTTGCTTATCCCTCCCATCCAGTGCCGAGGCCGGTGAGTACCTCACACAGTATCTCGGCTCCACGGCCAACGTCCAGGCATTCAAGTCCGAGTTGTTACAGCGCAAGGAGCTGCTGCCAGTGGAAGCTCTCCGCAGCGTCTTCACGGTGAGTGACGCGGTTATCAGCGAGGATTGGAAGCAGGCAAGCCGGGGACAGGGGCAGTTTTACGAGAAGAGCAAAGCGGCGGAGACCGAGTTCCAGGAATCCAAGGCCGGGAAGAAGAAAGCAAAGAAGGGGAAGAAG